CACGAAGGACTACCAACCTAATTCAAAAGTCGTTCCATGTGCTGTCATACTCCAAGTACTTGATCTTCGACCTTTAGTCACCATCACGGAGAATTCATACAAGGTATTTGGTTTTAACCCGGTCACTAAATAGCTCAAAGTGGTGGCATTTGCAGTCTGAAAGAAAAACAAAGTGTCAGGAAATTCTGAACTGAAACCCATCAACCGCCAGCTCTCAGTCTTGTCTCACGTAAGTGTTTAAAACATTTCAGCATTTTATTCAACATTTTCAATATTCAAAACATTTAACATTTTCATAACCACGGTCATGAATTCTGTAACGTTTTTGCTCTGTCTTGCAAATTCATTAATCAAGTATCAACGTGCAGTTGTTTTATCTTAAACAAGAAATACTTTCTGCAATCAGCAAGAGCATTTAATAGCAGTCAATTATGAATTAAAAAAGTAAATAAATAAATTACAAGGTCCATGGCACACTTGCTATGCAGCAGGCTAAATCACTGTCTACTTGGGGGGTTTAATTTACAGCATTTCATTAACTGATCTGGCATGGGAAAACAGTGAAGCACAGCTACCAATAACAGTCCTTCTTGAAATCTGCATCTGCCTTCCAAATTCCTGTTAGAATTTTCAGTAAATATTTAACATGGTTTTTAAAAAAATAAATAAATAAACTGAGCATGCAGGTGCTGAGAGACTTGAAGATAATGAAGCTTTATTAATACATAGGTATTTTCATCCAAGATAACAATTTTTTTCTGACACACTGCAACTACACAGGGTTTATAGTGTGATTTATAGTAAACCAGCCATTCAGGAAGAGTTTTTGAGCTGTAGGTTAAAATATCTGATATTTGTTATACAAGACTTGAATATAAACACAAAGTACTTGAGGCCCATGGGAAAAAAATAATATACCTACATACATGTATATTCCTTACCTTGACCTACAGTAATTGAAACATAGATTTAATAAGTGAGTTGTTTCAAAATTTTGATAGGCCATACAACACCTGTATCAATAACTATTGCCTTGAGAAAACAACTGTTTTCAGTGAAATCTTCCTCAAGGAAAAGGTCATCCATCCATAAATGCATGCTCCCTGAAGACTCTGTAAGTAAGAGTCCAAACTCAACAAAGAAAACTCTTCTTTCTCAAGTATCAATGACAGCTTTTCATTAAACTACGTGAAAGTTCAGAAAACTGTCAGCCAAGTGATACTTGGACTTGTACAGAGTATTTTGCTTGTTCACAGAGGTGTGTTTTGCCATAGGGTGGACAGACAACAAAGCCATCATAAAACTAATTAGAATTAAATCCTTCATTAACTATAAACTTTGATAGAAAACTCAGTGTAGTTTCAAAGTAAACGTGATTGTGGCTGAACAGCTCAAATTTTTAAGCATAGAGCAGGACAGTTCTTACATTAGTTCAGTGACAAAGCTTGACTGAGCACAACCTCTCTAGTGTGAAGGTGAAGCCATGTGCTCAGAAGAGCTTTTCATCAGCTCTCGAAGGACCAAGCAACATTTTCTCCCGGCTCTTTGCAGTGGGGCTCAGAGACATTAGACCTTTCACCAGGACAACTACATAATGACGAGTCCAAAGGAGAAATCTTTTCCTAGCATCTTGTGTTACGAGCTGACTTGCCCCCTGAAAAGCAGCCCATGTCTTCCTCTCTAGAATACCTACAGAAACTCCTAACACCATTGCAGCATTCAATTCTGTCTCTAGTTCTTTTTAGCTCCTAGCTGGAGTCCTTTTTACAGCCTAACGTCGTATTTTTCCTCTCTGGATTTGAAAGTTGGTATCTTTTTGTTTCACTGCACATCATGCTGAATGTAAATGACATGAAAGGCTAAACTGGAGTGTTAGACTTCTCTGCTTTCTTCGTTTTTTAACACCACTTACTGTTTTTAAGATTGCAACATATCCCATGGTGCTAAACTCTGCTCACCTCCTAGAAATAAACTTCATAAATATGACCCTGTAAAATTTATTTTCTTTTTACACAGTCCTAAAAGATGTAAGTTGAGATTTAATATTTTAGCTTATGCTTGAGAGTACACTGATAAATCACAAGTAGCCAGTGAGTAGCTCCACTAACAAACCCCTCTCTGATCCAAGTTAGTGAAACTACACAGTTCAAAGCACAGTGGAGTATTTTAGCTTGAGGAACTGTATTGCATCTGTTCCTGTGTTTACATGCTCTAGATTGACACAACTCCTACACAAATTTAAGAAAATAAGGCTCCTTAAGGTGGAACCTTTTAGCTAACTTGTATTTGAAACATGCAGCCTCTTCTTTAATAAATAATTGTGAATGTCAGCACAGAAGGGACAAGCAAATGTAGAATATATGAATGAACTATATCAACATCCAGTTTACTCATGAGAGGGATGGAGAAACAACACTGTGTTGAACTGATGTAGCTTTGGATACTGACACAGAGATAAGAGAAGCTCCGATGCAACTGCGCAAACAGCCTCCAAACATGCAATAAATAACACAGCTGCTGAAGACGGCCATGACAATGTATGAGCTCGTACTTAATAAAGTCACCAAAGACCTGCCTGAAATGCAGCAACTTATTGAGCAGCACTGCTGAAAAGAGGTTTTGTCTTTCTTAAAATTAGCAATTGTTATTGTCCAACAGAGTAGTGCAGAATTTATGATTGAAACAAAGAAAATAAAAGCAGGACATGAGTTCTCCAGACATGGGTTAAAAATGATTAAAGCAAACGTTCTCAAACTTAGGTCCTTTCAGGCAAATGCTTTTTACAATAAGTAATTTTGAACTATATTCTATCATTACATATTATTATGGTCCACAATAAAACTTCTTGACCACTGGCCACCAGCAGTGAGAACACTGGGAGTATTTCATTTACCACTGAGGGTGGGTTTTTTTTAAGCATTTAATTAATGAAACTGCAGCATTATATAAATCACTCCCAAGACATCCTCTGCACATGACTCAGGAATGTGGGTTCATAAATAACTTGCCTTTAGAGGAAGAACACACATATATACATCTTTTCATTTCAATTAAAAAAAGAACCTGGTTTATAACAAGATTGCTCTGCGAGAGCATAAAGGGAGCTCCACTAGCTAGATATTTTAACAACCATTTCCTCTGAGTCTCATTTCAAATGTGAAATCTGCAGTCAGCATTTTTGAGGTCTCCAGATAACTCTGAAAATTAAAAAAAAAATAATCTAACCAACCATCTAAAAAATTTCAAAACAATAAACTGAGCCCCAAATCTAGTCTTCAAACCAAAAGAGTAGATGAAATCAAGGCAGGCAGGGATATCATAAAGTTATTGCTATGTATTTTGTACCCATTCAGTTCCCAAAGGAAAGGTTCAGCTATCAACTTCGTATGAACAGAAAAGGTCGTAAAAGGAAACTTAAAACCGTCAGAGTAAATATTTTGCCTGCATGACTCACCCCACAAATTCAGATTCTTCTGCTAACTGGAGAGAAGCCATTAGTAACACATAACCTTATTAATGTGTTGTTGGCTCCTCGGAAGGTAAGCTCACATCTGTCATACAAAGAGACTGTAAAGGATAAAATTATCACCTTGTCCATGGTTCGAGAGCAGAACATAATTCTGGAAGCATTTGCCTTCCTTCCTCGAGTCACCTCTTCCATTCACTCACACACAACACCCCATCTCAATCTCACCACACCACCAAAACTTCCACTACATCTAGGAGAATCTTTGAAGAGATGATTTAACTGAGCAGTATTGATCTCAAATAAAACTGGGCACACCTCTATACTGTTTTCTACGTGCTTATCTTACTCTCACCAAAGTTCTTCTCATTGAAACAATGCAGCTGTGTTATTGTGCCAACTCCAATACCTTGTACTTGGTATTTGCAGGAATATTGGTTTTCCAGCGAACTGTGTAGTAGCGAGCATCTGTGATCTTCTGGTTCTTCGGCAGAGAGTTGTCTGCCCAAGTGATCCGTATGGTGTCATGACTCAGAATGGAAGCCTGAACTCCCACCGGTGGCATCATGGGAGACGGATCTGGCACTGGAGTGTATGGAGCATTAATAACAAACAAATCAACCTCGGAAGTGTCTAGGGAATTGATGGGTAAAAAGTAGTGTATTATAATTAAAAAAGGGAGAAGGTGGCATTTTAATGTAAAGAAAAACAAAAAAGGGGAAATGCAGGGTAGTACAATGAAATGAAAGGTGAGAAATGGAGAAAAAGAGAGAAAAGCCAGAGTTAATAAGTGACATAAGACTGGCTAATTAAATTATTCTTGCATCGCGTTCCCTTCTTAAGACAGTAAGACAACATATATATGCTAATATATATACACCTAACCATATTAGTGTTGAGTGCATTCAACCTAAGAACCCCAAACACACAGTAATTTTAACTTTGCCTTTATTTGCCTCAAAGCGTCCACTGATTCCTCTTCTGGAAAACAACGAGTAGGAAAAAGAGCAGGACTTGTGGATGGGTGAATGCCACTTTATAAAACTTATAGGGAATTCCCATCACCTTGTAAAGAATGGTAATGGCAAAGTTCCAAGTATCCTACAAATTTGCAACAAGTGAAGAAAATCCACTTCCAATGTCCTCTATAAAATCCTAAAATCTAAGGATTCCTGCTCTTTGGAAGACTAAACCAAACAGAAGGATTAACATCTACACAAAATGATTAAGTAACGTCAGCAGTGTAGCAGGGAGCACAGTGAGCTATAGCATAGTGATAGCTCACTTGCAAACAAATTTATCTGCTTAAAATCTTTCATTATAACAAGACAAAAAAATAAGCCAATAACTTGCGTAGTGTAAGTGACAGCAGGTTGAGACTTGAACAAGGAAAACGCAGGCATAGTATTCAAAATCTCAGTGTAAAAGAGAAAAAAAAAAATCTATACTTGTCCATATGAAAACAGAATTGGGGCTGTGCTTTTAGAACTGCACCCACACAATTTGTGCTAATGGAATGTTAACTTTATGAATAAAAACATCTATAGGTAGTTGAAAAGTAAGTTTTGTACTTTAAAAATGAAACCAATTTTTGGTGGTTTCATAAACGGATGAAACAATCAAGGCAATCACCGAAACAGCAAGGGCAATCAAGAACCCAAGTGTACTCAACAGCACTGAAAACCACGACTCTTGCATTACACATCATTGTGTTTGTGGCTGCCGTGCACGTGAACAATACTCAGCTGCACAGAACTTCAAAGCAGTCCCTCGCCTTTACCTGAGTGAGGCCGGGTCACCGCGCTTTCGTAGAGAGGGATCCCTTCACCAACATTGTTGAAGGCTTTCAGAGTTATGACATAGTGCGAGCTTGGGTCTAAAGGGAAAATAGGGAAAGATGTTAGAGAATCTGATTTTCTGTTTCTCCATATTCTCTTTGTTCAGTATTTTATTTTTGACTGAAATACATGAAATAATTAGACTAAATCTGAATTGAGAAATTTTCCATACAGACATTCGATTAGCATTCAATAGTTCTCAAACTGTGCAAGTTTATAGTCACAGCAAATCTACCTTAAGTACAGTCAAAATAAAAGCAGGAAAAACATTTTTAAGCGAACATTTTAAGTTGCTCTACTATAAAATTACTCAAAACTCCAATGTTATTATGGAACTTCTCAACAGTTCGCAATACTAATATTTATTTTGCTTTCAGGATATTTTACCGACCACAGAGAATTCTGTGGAGGGGTGAATCGACATTTTTCTTTTAAAGTAGATGCCACTGTCTCTTGGTGACATTTCAGTTTCTTTTTTTGCCTGAAGCCACCTGTTCTGCAGCTCCAGAAGGAGAATAAGGGAATACTGCTCAGCATGGAAGTTTTTATAAGCGTTGAAGGAGAAAATGCATCAAACCAAAATGCACTATGTTTCAGACTCGGTGAACTTAGGATTCTGGGTTTGGCTTTTTTTTCTTCCTTCCTCTGCTTCTTTCTCTCCCATCAGAAAATTGAATTTATTTGAAATTTATCAACAGTTTGGCATCCGGTATAATATCTGAATAAGGAAAAAGATCCTCTTAAAAACATGCATGTAGTTTTATTTATTTATAATACCATAATAAGAAAACAGTAACATAAATGAGAGGTAAAACTTGGGCACTGATGGCAATTCACTGTCCTTACCCAAGTTTTCAATGGTGTAGTATCTCTGTTTGTAGTCCACCTTGATGGTCTGCGCGTGAGGACTGCCAATGCCATATCCTATAGCGTAGCCTCTCACCACAACGTTCTGGTTTTCAGGTGGAGTCCAGCTTACCACGATACTGGTGACGAGGGGTCGGACGTGTAAGGAGCTTGGAACTTCAGGAACACGAGTTTCTGGTAAAGAAAAATGATGCACTTAAAGGATTTCTCTTAAATCAAGGTAGTTACAGGAAGAGCTATGAGCTAGTACGGTCAAACGTAGCACTTCTACCCTGTGTCTGTATCAAAATGAGTACACTCCAAAGCTTTATTGTACAAGAGAGAGCACAGAACTCTAATAAGCAGAAGAAAATGGACATAGTTTTGTATACTAATATATTTTAATAGATACTGCCTTTAAAAGAAAGGACAATCATACTGAAGAAAAGTATTAGATCTGCTTCAAGGCAGACTTTTTTTGATGTTTGTGCATGTTCTTTCCAAGTTGTAATTTTTCAAAATATGCATTAAATTTATCTCATCCTTCCCCTCCACAAAGCAATCTCCTTTTAGTTCCACCATATTACTTACTTGTGGGCATTAAAATAATTATATTGAAAACACACTGATGATGAAAGAAACTTTCCTGAGTTCATTGGGGGATTAAATAGAGTATTTCAAAGCTCTAAGAACTGTCAATAAACTGGATATTGCGTGTGCTGCAAAGATTTCTTGTGATTTCTCCTACACTTGTTGCTGTTTAAATCCTTGAGTCTCTTTGACGTAATTCACAAAATACACGCAGGGACTACACAACATCAAAAAAGACTCATAGAGTCCATACCAAATGCTCAAATCCTACCCCCACAAGCAACACAAATCTCATCACAACCCAGATGTTGGAACATCACAACTCCAGAGAGTTGGAATGTGGATCCTTAAGAACAGAAGGATTTCCACAATATGTCGCTGTAATCCCCTAAGATTTTTACTACTTTCTTTTTCCCCAGTGTTGATTAGAATTTAAAAGCAATCTAAAAGCCCAGCCACACTTACTACTGTCCACACCTTTGTTTTACCTTCTCAAAAATGAAATAAATACTTTTGTCAGGCCACTGAGCACAGATTTTTAAATAATTCTGTGCATTATATAGCAAGCCAAGTTCCCCACTCTAAAATAAAATCAGTTCAGAGAGTTCTGCTTCCTGCAGGGATTTCCTTTTAATGAAACATGCTGCATTTATCTAGAAACATTTAATAAAGCACCATAACAGGATTATTTGCATCGTAATATGCCACTGGCCTGCTAGCCCAGGGAGTTTATGGTCTCCAGCTGACACAGCTGATCAGTTAAAGTTCACAACTATTAAATACAGAAAAAGCTACAGAATTGCGATATGAGAGATGACATTTTTAACTGCACAGAAGTTAGTGCATTGGGGATCAGCTCTGTGCAACTGTTTAACACCTTTTCCATATGCATTCCTGGTGGGACTCGCACCGGCTCAGCAATATTACACAGCCCTACTAATGCTAAATTGCAACAGTCTGGCTCCCATTTACATTGATGACACTATAAAGTGAATTATTTTTCTATTTAAATCCCAAAAGCAGCCAGGGAAGAAAAAAAGAATTATGCCTTCCATGTCTATTGAACCTGAGAAATTAAAGATTAGCTGTAAATACATTTGCATGGTATTAAAATTATCCACATGAGCTTACTAAAGGAAGAAAAGCAAAAAATAGTACATGCACACACACACACACAAAGTTCTCATAGGTGTGTATAGAATGACATGAATACCATGTTACATTGTTTTAACTGTGAATTTTTATTAGTTTATTCACGGTAAAATGTATGCATAAAGGAAGTTAGATTTCCTGCAAGGACTGCAATGTTGCAATTTGAAAAAAATTAAAATTCAGAAATCCACACGGAATAAAGGGTTCTTTTCTTCTCCTTCCTTCTGCCCTATTTAAATTTCATCCTGATGCTATCCCTCTGGCAAAGTATTGTGAACTCTAATTGAAAAGCAGAGTACATTTTAATTACCCCATGTAAGCGCTTCCTGTTTACAGAGCTTGACTTCAGTTTGAGGAACCAGAGGTTTCTCAGCGCTGCACGATTGTGTCATATCCAGTTAGAGGAAGACAGACACAGGTGAAACTAATTTCAACTCTAAGTAAATTTCAAGTAACTACAAAAGTGAATTCTACTGTTTTATGCTGTTCTTAAGCAGGGGAGTATGAGCAGTAAGAGGACAAGCATGAAGTTGAGCATCAAATTTGTGTAACGCAAAGCCCGAAGCGTGGGCTCTCGAGGGCTTTCATCAGCCGAGTTTGAAGCCATTGTCCAGCAGCACAAAGCAAATACTGCAGCTCTTTTATTATTCTGTCTTCCAGCTGCCAGTATAACTGAATCTCAAGCCACACAGATGTGAGAGACATGACTGGATCCTGCAGCATTAAGCTAGAATGACCCTCCAGCTACTTTAACAAAGCCAAGAGGGAGACTGGCCTGCAGCAAGGGTCAGGTAACTTGTGCGCAGCAGCACTAATTAAACGCTTCTCTGAAACAGGAACAGTCTACCCAGAATCACCAGCTCCATGTAGGCAGTTCCAAAGAGACTTGCTCCAGCCACCCTTTTAAAAATGGCATTTTTCTTCCATTTTAATTGTTCTTAGATTCTGGGAAATGCTCACAATTTGCTCATTTGAATTCCGCAAGAATCAAGTTCCCACTTGCAAATTATTCTAGTGTAGTAAGTACCAAACATCTGGACCAACTATCAAAGGTCACCATTTTTCACAGCACATTTTCTACTTTGGTTGTTAACTTCTGCACTGGAAAAACAAAATGTTAACATGGTTCTGTGTGCCATGTATCACGAATCTATGGCTGCTGATGGAAGATATGGTCTACACCAGGCTACCAATACTGAAAAGATAATCGATCACCCTTTTCTTCTGAAGTAGCAAAATAAGAATTGCTGGGAGTCAAATATTCTCTTTAGAAAAAGAGTCTAAGCGAAAAAATAAAACAAGCCCAGGAAAAATATTTTAACAAAAAGCATTGCAAAGCAATGTTTTCCACCGTTTCTTTCCCACTGTGAGCATCTCTCTCATACTTAACGAAGTTTACAACCCCAAGTCTGCAACAGCAAAGTATCTCCAACTGTCAAATCACCACTCTTGACTCTGAGGTAGATTTCAATGGTTTCATTAGCATAACTTAGGTGCTACATAAAAGAATAATCACTATTTTACTTCCCTCAAGGAAAACAGTCCTCCTACCTCTCTTTCATAGCATGTAAACCCCTGCATAATTAACAAGATTAATTTTATTACAATATAAAATGAAGCCATTATTACTATTATATGACTCTTATAATGTATTATTATTTAAATATTGAAACATTGTAATTCATAATTGGGTATTTTTTAACAGAAAAAGCATAGTGCCAACATACAGTACTAGAAAGTGTAGAAGCAGGGTTTAATTTCAAATCATTTAATTGACTTGGCAAGAATTTTAAGTTAAAATAAGAATTAATTTTGCTTACTCATAAATAAAGCACATTGCATAATTAGAATACAGTAAAAACAACTTAACAAAGTCAGGTTTGCCTGTACAAAAGGCAATCAGACTTTACTGTCAACGAATTCTGGTGGTTTTGATGTCATAAATACACTGACACTTTACGATCTTACCATCTAGATCACTCTCAAACGTTTCCGCTGATACCCAGTCGGTAGCTGGCCCAGTACCGTTAACAGTCAAGGCGGCAACTCGGAAGCTGTATTCTGTGCCTCGTTCGAGACCTAAGGAAAAACGAGTATCCAAGATATCAACACAGGAACTGCAGCTACGAGCAGAGGTACTGTGTTTGCAGCCAGCTTTAATTTCTGGCTATTAATTAATTTTAAGTCCAGAACCACCCACATGCATAACTCAACATAGGCAAAGAATACAGACAAGTGACCCAAATGAGCAAGTAGTTGGTTTATGGTATATAAAAGTGTATAATCAATAGTCAAAGCAGTTTGAAAATGCACTGAAAATTTGATATATAGAACTTCTTAAACAGGCTTTTTTGCTGGCAAAAATATACTCTAGTTACAGGCACCGACCAACTCCTGCTCTGAAAAAACTGAAAATTACTGCGTCACAGTTGGAGTTTCTGAGAGCAAATCAAAACATCTTGTGAAAAAGTAGATATTCATTTTCTAGAGAGGCAGAATTTCTTCTCTTTGACCAACTGTTCATTTACAGAGATTTAAAAAAATGAACAAAATGTAATCTTGCTCCTGTTCTCTAGTAACAATATAAAATTTATACTAAGTGATGTACTAGATTGGGGTTTTTTTAAGTGTATAAAATAAAGCAAAGATATATTTATGCCAGAAAGAAGGGAAAAGGTTGGTGTCAGTGAAACAAGGTGGGATGATTCGCACAGATGCCTGAGTGAAGTTCAGTCCTGAGCATATTGCGTCTGCCTTCCTTCTCCATGCAACCCCTATGCCATTTAGAAAGGTTTCACAAGGATTCATCCAGTCTGCTTGGCAAATCAATGGCAAAATTAGGGCTGCAAAACAGGTCACGAGACTTCAGTTACCACTAGCCAGCCCTCATAACCTGCAAACACTCTTTTTAAGTGCTTTCATTTATTCTTCCAAGGTAAGAACCCTACATAAACATGTCTCTTGGCCACTAAAAGCACCTAAACCCCTCTTGATCACAAATGCTTGCAAATAATAGCTCACCTTCAATTAGCTGGAAAAGCTGGGTCCCACCAATGCTCTCTGTCACGTCACTCTTGCGGGACACCTTCCGGTAGCGAATTTTGTAGCCAGTGATTTGTCCGCTGTGCGTCCCTGCAGGAGGAGGCTGCCAGTGTAGCATGATGCTCTGCGGAAGGTAGAAGGTAATTACAAAGTCATCGCCTCTCACGCAGACAGAGAAACTACTCTGGTGCTAATACTTCATGACACACAAGATAAAGAACATGCATACAGAAAATACTGCTTTTTCATATAGTAAAACCTAGGCTATCTGTAAAAAGTAAAAATCTATGATTCAGCAGCAGCCCAGGTCATATGTGCGCCTACAGAAGTTCAACTCAAAGTGCTTCAATCCTACGAGACCTTCTGATTCCAATTTCACCTTCATTCTTGTATTTCCCTTTCATTCTCTTTGGGTTATCTTAAGATACGGTTTACTTGCGGATCTATCTTTAAGAACTGGTATTTTCTCTAAAGGTTATAAGTTATCTGAACTGTAGTTTTTGTGCAGGAAGGGTTTTTTTAATCACCAAGGCAGCAGAAGAAAGTATTTGGAAAAGAGTCTAGAAAAGGATTTAAAAAAATCTCCAGTCATCATCACTGAAGTCACAATGGCTAAGTATGTATATGATCTTCTCTTTTAAAGCACCCAGGACTCCAAAAATGTCCATATGTGTGCACACAGCCAATCACCAGGAACACATTCAAGCTCTGGTATTTCAGGCTTTTGTGCCTGATTAAACCTCTTTCATAATTAGCCTCCATGCTTTGGTATATTGTCACTGTCTTCATTGCATTCTGTTAGGTACAATCCACAACTGGACTGGAGTTTCTAAAGCTTCAGTTGTTGGGCAATTCATACATAAATAGCTGAAAAGCAGCATGGTAGAAAAAAGCGGCTCTAAAATTTGGTCGATCTAAGACCTACCAACCTTTTATTTACCTGTTACCAACAGGAAATTCTCCCCATCTTACCTTGGAATTCCGTACCTCCAGCGTTAGATTCTGTGGTGGAGCACTGGGGACTAGAAATATTAAAGGAATTACAACTCCAAAATTACCATATACTGTATCAAATACTGTTCTTCCGTACACAATTACTCTCTGCTATCATTCATTATGAAAACCTTTCTGGTTTAAGACACTAAAAAAAGTAACTACAAAATTCTACCACAGGTATTTATGACGTACAGTGAGGAGGAGGTTAGGAGGTTTACATATTTGCATCACAAAGAATGAACTCACTTTTTATTCAGGTCTTTATTTATCACAGGTATCTAATTTTAAAAGTGTCTTCTATTTAAAGGTACTTCCCATAAACTCCAAGAAAAAAGATCACACTCAGCACTTTCCAAAATCAAGTCTTTAATTTACAGGTTGAATTCTGGGAACCCGCAGTTAAAATTCTAGCCACGTTTTTTGTTGTCATGGCTTTCTGTAACAGGAAGAACTCAAACAGAGTCAAGACGCCTCTGTTCCTGAAGAGGTGAAGTGCACTGCAAAAACAGTTTCTGCTTTTCAACCTCCACTCTTTGTTAGTTCTTTACTAGCTGTAGCAACTCGCTGGTCACGACAGTGGAAGTCCATTAGACAAAAAGGCAATGTAAGAGAGAACCTGAGAACAAGGAAAACCTCCTCGCAGCACTTCAGACTCACAAATGTTATCTCCAAGGCAAAGATAAGGGTTCCCTGGCAGGAAGGTGAGGCTCCTGCAAAGAGCATGGACAGGGAAGTAGCACAACAGGTCTGAAGATTGGTCCGGCCTGAATAATGTATTTTCCACATAGCTCACACCAGCCACATCAATACCTAAGAAAACACTGAGCGCATAAAGTGAAAGTAGCCCTGAGATAAGTGAAAGGTACACTGGGGTGTGCT